AGCTGCAAAGTTTCCATGATGCCATGATGTGTGCTTTGACAAAGGCTGGCTAAAACAGTTCATCCTATGTATTTGCTTTTAGTTTCACATCTTTCTGTATCTGTTTTTCTACATAGTAACTGCTGTGAGTACAGGCTGATGTTTGTATTGTACTGGCATAACAGCACCAGGGTCTCTAGGTGCAGCTACAGTGTACATAAAGATAGTTTCCATTTTTAACTTAACAGCTTTTGTTATGGTTCCTTCTACTTAACAGGTAGTATATATTGTAACTTGAGTACTAATGCTCTTTTTTGTTTTTGGTGGAGGACCTCCTGTCTATACATAAAGGATTTTATGGCAGTATTTTAAAATTTTGTTCATTACAGTGTAAGAACTGAATCCTTATGGGTGCTTTTGTGTTCAATCAAAAAAGATCAAGGTTATCTAAGTAATACATATTTGAAAACATATCTTGGATGAATTTAAAGACTGAATACAGTTTTATGTTTCAACAGAAATAGATGAAGTAAGGCATTTTGAGGTTGTCTTGTTTGATTTTTTCCAAGATACTAACTGACCTGTTTTATTGTCCCTCAGTGCCTTTGCTACTCTAGAAGAGGAGGCTTGTACAGAGCTTGTTCCTTATCTTGCATATATACTTGACACTTTGGTCTTCGCGTTTAGTAAATACCAGCATAAAAACCTGCTCATTCTTTATGATGCTATAGGAACTCTAGCAGATTCTGTAGGACATCATCTAAATAAACCAGTGAGTACACCTTATGTTCTGTGGAAGCAGAATAATTGAAAAACTTGTTCAGTGTTATTTGTAGGGTGCTTTGCATGTTATAAACCAGAAATGCTGATATTTCTGTGTAGGTCTCAATAATACTAAATATTTACAGATAAAATACATAGACTGCACATAATTTTCCCACTACACAAATATTTGCCATTTTGAGTAAACAAATGATAGTGTGTGAAATGTGCTTCTCATCATGATTTTCTCCTCATGTTCAGAATTTTTCAGCTCAGAGGAGATACACATATCAATATAGATCACACTTTTTTTCTGGTAACTGCTTTATAGCTAAGCTGCTCTGTGTATGTATCTTGAGAGTGAATTGGAGCACATCATCACTAGAAATTGCTATTTCAGAGTGAAAGAGGCTTTTTTTTAATATAAAAACACAGAATCTTATGGTCAAAGCACAGATAACAGAAAGACGGATGTAATAGGAGGTTTTTTTAGTGTACATATATTAATTAGTTGAAGATATATACCTGTCACATGTTTGCATCTTATGATGGTTGTTGAAACTTGCTTTATTTCTCTGTAGCGCTTCAAATGACATAGACACCCCAGATAAAAACAATTTTAGTTGTTTCTGTGTCATTTTACTTGCCATCTGAGACCCCACACCATCAAAGACCTGTTTTGCAGTGTCTCTCTGAGCCTGGCCACCTTGACATTTGACAGTACCAGGAGGAAGCTAAATGGCAGCTCCTGAGGAGGATGTGACTTTCATTAGTCAGTTCAAATTTTATATTTTTGGGCATAGCGATATATGTTGGCTCTTCATATACCTTCTGGGAGCAACAGCACTATAGAGATGCCTTGCTCAATGTCCTTGTGACTGTGGCTGCGCAATGGCAGGGAAGCCAGCTTTATGCAGAAGGGGTAAGTGCCTCCTTCTGGAGGAATAGGAAATTACTTTCTTCAGGGATGGTTAGTTGCTTAAGGAAGAAGTTTCAGAACTTGGGGGAATAGTGTTTTGTAGCATCAGGGCAGTGCAAAATGGTTGAGAAAAGCTGGTGGCAGATGCAGAGCCAGAATGTAAATGTAAAAATGTTTTCTTAGGCCCTGAGGCAGTCACTTAAACTTCTAATAATCCAGGTAGCTATACTGAAACCAAACCTGCTGGAAGGTATTTTCCAAAGGTATTTACATGCTTTAGCAAAAAATATCAAGGCATAAATTGTAAATCCTAATATAAAAATACTTCTATGAATTGCAACAATGACTGAAATACAGTACGTCAGGGTTTTTTTTTCTCTGAAGAAGTAGAATGTATTTCAGTTCCTACCTAACTTGAAATAAAATAGTATGCAGTTAAGTATTTTAGCAACTCATGCATTTTCATCCCAAACAGGAGTATATTCAGATGCTAATGCCTCCATTAATCCAGAAGTGGAACATGTTGAAGGATGAAGATAAAGATCTCTTCCCTTTATTAGAGGTAAGTGTTAAAATTTGGATATTTTTAGTCAACTTATTTAGGAATTATACTTTCTACTAAAGAGGTTCCTACTAGGAAATATGACTATAAAGTCTGACAGTGTTAGCTATTTCCCATTATGAATAAAATATTCTGACTGTAGTAAGAAAATTTTATGACTGAGGAACTGTCCTTAGGTTTAGCAGAAATCCTTTAGATTTTTTTCTGCCATTCTGGAGTATTTTCTTTGATAGGATTATTTTAGGGAGAAAAAATGTTTTATCCTGCTTTTATTCTTGTCTTCTCTCTCCTTGCTCTCCCTTCATCCCTCCATTAAAACTATTGTCAGACAAGCTGAAGGTATGAACCAGACCATGTAGTCTTATTCTCTGTACTTTCTGAGTGTGAAGCAGGAAAACACCTCTAGAAAATTAGTTTTATAACTCTTAGGTAATATTAGGGCTTGTTCATGGTCAAGATACTGCAGCTTAGTGTAAGTGCTGTCTGAAATTATCGTAATTGGTTTTGTATGCATTTTCTTGGCTACCTCTAAGAAGATGCTGCTGCTGAGAAATTTTCTCAGCTGATGTGTACAGGAGTGAGTAACAACTTGCTGATAGTTGCCTTGCCTCAGCTAACCAGTACTGCCTTTCTAGGCTGTGTTTACTTAATCAGTTACATATTGGTGTAATTAAAATCCTAATATCTTTTAAGTTAGCTTTCCCGAGTAAAAGGCACTTCAGGAATGTGAGGAAAGGTAGTGACTGTTTTCTGTTTCTTCTTTTTTTTTTAATTCCAGTGCCTGTCGTCAGTTGCTACTGCCTTGCAATCTGGCTTTCTTCCATACTGTGAACCTGTGTACCAGCGTTGTGTAAATCTGGTGCAGAAGACACTTGCACAAGCCATGGTATTTTTCTATGACTATTCCAGTGTTACTTTGCTAAACCAATGTATTAACTGTGTAAAATTACAGGTTTTGCAGAGAGATTCAATATCTAAATGAATGTGCAGTTTGGAAACTTTTTTTTATGCATGCCCCTGAGAAAATTTAATATAATTTGAAAATGTGTACTTATTTGTTGCAGTTACATAATGCTCAGCCAGACCAATACGAGGCTCCAGATAAAGATTTCATGATTGTGGCTCTTGATTTACTCAGTGGTTTAGCTGAAGGACTTGGAGGCAACATTGAACAGCTAGTGGCTCGCAGCAATATCCTGACGCTAATGTACCAATGCATGCAGGTGAGATGAGTCATTTACTTGATCCAAAGATTTTCTTTTTTCAGAGAATCAGAAACTCTTCTAGAATTGTAATTTTTTTCTTCCTCTCTTCAGGACAAAATGCCTGAGGTACGGCAGAGTTCTTTTGCATTGTTGGGGGATCTGACCAAGGCCTGTTTTCAGCATGTTAAACCTTGCATCGGTATGTTTCTTTTAGTATTAAACAACTCATTTTAAAAATTCCCAAGATGTTAGTTTAGCCATCGTTAAGCTCCCTGCCTGTTCTGTGGGTTGCCTTTTCATGGTATTGGACATTGTAATTTTCCTTTATCAGCAATGGTCTGTGGCCTTTTTCCTTTGAATTGTACATTTAGAAGACATGGTCCTAATTTTTTAGACAGTGCAAAAATTCTTCTTTGTCCTTTATTTTTAGAGCTTGTTTTGTTCTACTAGACTCTATTATTATGGAAAATTATATATAATATATAAATCAAAAAACTTGGCTAGAGGATAGGTTTTCCTTTGGTTCTTTGCATTGTTTTCATTTCAGTAGGGAAGTAGCATCAGTTATAGACTTCCATGATATTTGCTCTTTCTTCCCACAGATATAGTTAAGATACACTTGCCAAATAGGCAAGTGGAATTTAAAGTTTATTTGGCAGACGTTATCATTACCTTTGTGACTCATTTTTTCTTAAAATTTAATCAAAGATGTGATTGCCATCTAGTCTTCATTGTTTTATCAACCATGGCTGAATACACAGCTATCCAGATGATTTGAAGTTGTTCAGCCATATTATAAAACCACAAATACTTGTAGCTGTGATTTTTTTCTTATGTTCCTCTCTCTCCTCCCACCTAAGCAAGGGAAGGAGGGGAAAAGGATTTCTAGAGTTACAAAAAGATAAAGCCTTTTAGAAAGATTTTAAAAGCATAATTTGAAAAGATTTGCACTGAACTGCTTAGGTTCTAAATTCCAGGTTAATCTGATATATAGCAGAAATATAGCTCTTGTTAATTCACAAGTAACACTTTCCAAGCATTTAAATAGGCTTACATTGTCTTTTTCTTAAACCCTTTCCCCCCCCCACCCCTTGATCTAACACTAATGGGACAAAATGGTTGTATTGTGTGATGAGATTTTAAAATGTTGTTCTTTCTAGCTGATTTCATGCCAATTTTGGGAACCAACCTAAACCCTGAATTCATTTCTGTCTGTAACAATGCCACCTGGGCAATTGGAGAAATCTCTATCCAGATGGGTAAGATTTAATTTTTTCTTTAGTCTGTGCACATTTAGCATGTGTCTGGGCATTTTGGGGTGGGTTTTTTTTAGTGATTATTTCATGTTAAAATTTAAATTACATTTGAGATCCTTGTCCTTGTTAGTAAATTCAGGGTATGCATTCTGTTTAGATTACTGATATTAATGATTGTTTTCTTCTGAATCTTTTTTCATTGTTGTTTCAGGTATAGAGATGCAGCCTTATATTCCAATGGTGTTGCATCAGCTTGTAGAAATAATTAACAGACCCAACACACCAAAGACGTTGTTAGAGAACACAGGTACCCAAAAAATTAACTGTACATGGTGAAGGAAATTAGAGATTTTTTTAATAATCATTTTTAAAATTGCATAGGGGAACCACACCAGAACTGACTTTTTTGCTATGTATTTGGCTTTTATAAGCAAAAGCAACTCTATTTTGCAGAAGCTCTTACAAGTCTCAGTCTTGCAGCATATCATATATCTAGATTCTAAAAGTTATTGGGTTTTCCTTTTATAACATTTTTTGTATCTATTTATAGTCTGTGTAATTATTCTTCCACTTTTATTTGCTTATTAAGTATTACAAATGTATGCAGTAACCCCTAAAGACTTATTTCTCAATGATTTTGATATACACATGTCCTTACATGTGTACTGTATATATATGTCTAGTGTTGGAAACAAATTTCATTGGCATAATGAACTTTTTGAATTTACAAAAAATGCAGTCTTTTATTTTAAGATAAAATTGTAATATCATACACAAAAATCTAGATCTATGATGGCAGTTTTACCACAATGTAACTGAAATTATATTACATTTAATTTCTTTTACCTGGTCACTTAATAACAAATTTCTGAAAAGAATAATGGCATGCATATTTTATGTTCTAGTACACAGCTTTGAATTCCAAATTGGGAGCAATCCCCAAATACCTTACTGAATCGAAATCTCTGAGGCTTGTTTCTTTTGCATTTATAGAGGGCATGTTCTGGTATAACAAGCACCTTCCATACTCTAGGAAAAATTTATTAATAATGTGATGGGTTTATGGTTTACTATTTTACTAATTAGGAATTTTATTTTTTCATCTTTTTGAAAACTGTAAGAAAATAACAGTTTAGTTATTATATCTGACATGATTGAAAATTATGCAAATACAATGGTACAGTTATTTTTTTTGAGCAAAGCAAGAGATAATTTGAAGAGAGATTTTCCTTGCATATTTTTCCTCCAGTATTCTCTAAACTTACAAGCTGCACTTTCTCTGCTCCTTAACCCCCATTTGGTATGGAAGGTGAAGTTGAAGGAAAAATTACCTCGTTGTATGGCATATTATAGGTACTACTTTTTGAAAATGTAGTTTTGGAGTAAATAGCTACTTGTTGTGAAATATACCATGGAATAGTATAAAAATATAAATTCTCCTTACCCCTGCCCCTACCCTGACTTCCTTCCTCTGCACTGATGGATGTGTAATACCTGTAACTGAGAGGCGTCCAATACTTAAATGTTTGCTTCCATCATTGCTAAGAGAATTTTTGGAAGCATCCAAACACTTAACTTTCATTTATTTATTTATTTAATTTATTTATTTATTTATTATTCTCTTAATAGTTCCTTTAAATGTGGTTGGATAACTGCAAATAAATGTTGAGTGTGGTGTACTTATTATACGTTTGTTGTGGGATATTTTACTGTGTGCCACTAATATGTGCAAGAAAATTACTGGCTTTGCTGTAGCTTGCTATGTAATTCATTATGAAAACAATTATGAGAACACACTTTGATAGAGATTACTATTCCTTGTACAGGCTGTAGCTGTAAAAATTTACAGATAAAATTGTATTTTCATTTAAACTGCAAGTGCAGTTTTATAAGATAGCAAAAAAATTTTAGACACTGCATACGGAAATTGAATAACATTAGGGCAAAACAGTATATTAACAGGGAGCTGCAGCTTTCATGGAATTAATATGTTTCAAACTAGTATATCCTACACCAAACTTTTATTGGAGAAAAGCATCATCTGCTTTATTGCATGTTTCATGAAACTGTTCACAAATGCCTGTTAATTAGAGTGTTGCATAGTATGTCCCTTGAACATAGGTTTCCTTTCTCTGCTTCATACAATCTGCTGGATTTTAGTATTATTCATGTATTTTGCTTCCAGTAATCCTGATACATTATTCCCCACCCTCTCCTTTTTCTAAAGATTAATCTTCCGTGAGTTGAGCAAACACCATTAAAACACATTTGCATGATGATATTTTCTTTGGTCTGTCCCTCGGAACAATGAACCAAACTGTCTAATCATGTGATGAAACAATTTTGCTTTTCATGTGTCCTTATGCTTTGGTATCAGAAGTCAGATTCGTATACATCTATGAGGAAACCTTTTGTGAACAGAAGAAATACTGAGATTAAAGAATTCATTTTCTGCAGTCAGTTGCTGTGAATTAGCAACCATTTTTAATTAAATTATCTATGAGATTATGAAGAAGATAAATATTTCGTGCTCTTTGAGAAGTGCTTCATCTGTTTAGAATTTTCAGACAGATCTCTAGATTTTCCATGTAAAAGTATTTATGCATGTATTTTTACTGATAGATGGGATCTATTAAAACCTTGAATTCAAAACCTTGGAAAAAATAAAATGTTTAGAACACTTGATACTAAAACTGAAAATGGTTGATTTCTTTTTATCAAATAGCTGTAATAGTATATTTGAATAAAAACTTTCAAATGTATGGTAGGTAAATTTACTGCAAAAGATTACTCTGAAGAGGGCAGAACGACTGCTTACATCAGAAGGCCTTTGGATTTAAAATTGTGTTTTTGGTGTTCTCTCATTTACTCCTTTAATTTTTCTTTTACCCTGGAGAGTATACCATATATGTTGCTGCCTCTTATTTAGGGGGTGGTAATAAACAAGCACTGGTGAAATCTTATGTTTATTATCATACACAGATTCTGTTGGTTTCTGTTTCTGAGTTATTTGTTGTTTTTTCTTTATTTTTTCTCCTCCCCCCTCATTTGCTCATGTCTTGGTTGGCGTTTGGTGGTGTATAACCGTGATTGCGTTACCTTAGCAATAACAATTGGTCGTCTTGGTTACGTTTGTCCTCAAGAGGTGGCCCCCATGCTACAGCAGTTTATAAGACCCTGGTGTGTATTATTCAATCTTTTTTTTTTTAATTCATTTTTCTTCACTCTCTTTCTTTCTTTCCTTCTTCTCTCTATCTCACTTTTAGATATATTTTCAGTTGGTTACAAAATCTCAATCCTTAATCATTGCCAACCATGTGACTAATCTTGTCCTATCAGGTTTGTGAGTTTTTAGTAGCACCGTCATGTATTCTTTATGTTGTGGCTAATGACTAATTTATGCATGGGATAAGATTGTCACATGCTTGCTGTGTTAAAGCTTGACTATGAAAGAGCATTTTAAAATCCACCAGAATGATAATACAATGCATGCAAATACTGTAAAATTTAAACAATGCATTATTTAAAATTCAGTCTGAGGCTTGAAATGCTTTAAGGAATATATGTTTATAGATTTGTTACGTATAAAATAGCTTGCTTGCTGCTGTAAAAGTTAAATAACTGTTCTGTAAGTGGTATCTGACATAATTCATACTGTGATAGTATTTTATGTTCCGCTTCTAATAATGATAGCTTCTATAAATATTTCAAATACATGTTTCTTTTGTATTTAATGGAATACAGGTCACACTTTCTAACTGTATATAGTGTAACAGAAAAACCAGATTCTGGAGATGAAACCTAATGGGATTATGCTAGTAAAAACTACGTGGAAGAAGTGTTTTTCTAAGTGTTAAAAATTGTGTTTCAGATCATCTTATCAGTGTGACTTATTCCATCAGATACTGTCATCTAGTTCTGACTTGATTGAAGAAAAGTAATAGAGTTATCTAAGTTTTTGCTCTCCAAATTGTCAGGTGCACCTCTCTGAGAAACATAAGAGACAACGAGGAAAAGGATTCAGCGTTCCGTGGGATATGTACCATGATTACGGTCAACCCCAGTGGAGTAGTCCAAGTAAGATACACTAATAGATACTAACTTCTTTTCTTTACCCATTTAAAATTTAAGGAAAGCTGTATGTGCAGTATGAAAAGGTTTACCTTGATGTGATTCCCTGCAGTGCATGATGTACCTTTATTTTGAGGTCAAGGAGGCCAAAATGTTTATATTGTGAATGATACGTATCATGATGCTTCAGTAATTATCATCTGAAAAGGAAAGGATGAGAGTATTGTTAAAGTCAGTTTTTGTCTTTTCCTTGCAGCGAATATATAAATAATGAACTTTGATTAAAATAACTGTATTTTGATACTTCTGTCAGGTTGTGGTCAGGATCTGGATGCAAATATAAGGCGAAAGTTGACACTATGAAACCTATTTTCCAGAGGCAAGCTAGGCTTTTAAAACAAGAAACAGAAAAAACCAGTAACCATTCTTAAAACTTGAGTAGAGAAGATTCTGTTTCAACTTTGAATAGATTACTTAAATAGTCAATGTGACAATGAACATGCATATATTTAAATTAAATGGTACAACTGAAGAACACAATATGACTTGATATTTTGTCTCTACACCTCTACAGTAAAGCTGTATCAATGTAGTATTTTCTTAGAGGAAAATGGAACTGATTTTTCCCTCTTCTCTACCTGGAGTTCTTCCTGAAACACAAGAATTGAGCCTCTATCTTGTTTTGTAATTTTTGGTTCATTTCACTGATGCCTTATTTTGTACTTAACATTTCACTCTTCTGCTGTCTGTTTGTTCATTCATGTAGCTTAAGGGGAAGGAATAATTCAGGACACATTTGATTAGCCCATATCTCCTCTGTAGTCATTATTCTCAATTCCTACTGAAATCATGTGCTTATTTAAGACTGGTGTTTTGTTGGTGTAGGAAGAGGTAATGCATGACAAGCAGATGAACTAAGCACAGGGATTTTGAGGTGGCTTTAGTTTTGAACCTGTATCCCAGAATAAAACTTCTGGCTCTGCTTAAAGCAATATGACACCTTTTTTCCCCAACTGGAAATGTGCGAGTGTGCATTTGTTCCTTCTTACTAAGGTGATTGGTTCTTGCATTTGTATGTGTACTGAAAGAAATGTCAGGCTAGTGTGATGTAGGAGGGGAGAGTTGAGGTTTTTTAACTGTGGTCTTAAGACACTCAGCAGTTTCTATTTCTGAACACTTAGGCATACAAGAACACAGCATTGTCTGAATTAAGTGGAAAAATAAATAGATAAAAGCAAAAGCAGTTGTGAATTGGGATCAAAGACCCTGTACAGTTCACAGAATAAACATCAAATATTGTTTTCAGATGTATAAATTGAGGTTTCTAACCTGTGTGATTGTTTAATCTTATAGGACTTTATTTTTTTTTGTGATGCTGTTGCATCATGGATTAGTCCAAAAGATGATCTTCGAGACATGTTCTGTAAGGTAAGTCTTCTAATATAACAGTATATTCTAATGGTGGTTGTTCTGCATCCTCTGGTTTGTTTCTTTCTGTAGCATTTACTGTGTTGGTCATGGAGGTTTCTCTGCCCCCTGTGGTCATGCAAGGTCGTACATTTTCAAACAAAACAACATGAAAAGCCTGACTGGTTTTTTTAACCTTTATTTTCTTATATTTTTTTAACCTATATTTTCTTATGTGCATTTGGGTTATTCCTAACTTTTTTAAAATTAAGAAGTTCACTTGAGATGTTATTTGAAGGGATAATCATCCTCAAACAGCTTTTCATAACGTTCTGTGTTTGAAAGAACAGGGGGTTCTATACTACATTTAAGACTTCTTTTTCTAGAAAATGAGATCTTTATGGTTCAAGACTACTTTTTGTCACAAAGATGCCTACTTTATTTTGAAGAAATATCTAGAAAATTTTGAATTAAAAATATCCCGGTGGCATTCTGTTTGATTCTCTTACTTTTGCTGAAAATAATGGATTGCTTAATCCTCCTCAGAATCCCTCTTGGGTGAGCAAGTTTTAAAAAACAAACATACAGTTATACCCAAGAATGCATCTCTATTGACAAAGTATCAACAGAGATTAAGCAAAAGGACTGTTTTCCCTGTATTTAATAAGAAAAAGAAACCAAAAAAAAAATAACAAATGGACCAAAAGAACAAAGCAAAAAACCCCCCACTAAACTACAAAACCACCAGCACAACCAGAATGTGATATATTGTATTTTTGCACTAATGTCTTACATTAAAAAAGAGAGAGAGAAAAAAAGTGGTTCCCTTCACAAGTTCTAAAGTGAAATCTCAATTTTTAGGAAGTTCTATCTCAAAAGAAAAGTTCATGATACCCTTGTAGAAAAAATGGAGCATATTCCTAAAAACTTACTAGGATCGTGGGTCAGTATTGGTACTTCTTCTTCGATTAGTGCCATGTCTGAGCATGAAAACAGAAGCCAGAACTTTTCTATCCCATCTTTAAGAGAAAATACAGAAATCTGACTGTCTTAGTTAGCCTCTCAGATAAGTGGTCTCCTTCCAAGGAATGTTAAATCTAGAAAATGCATCAGCAGAAGGAATGCTGTGAAAAATGCAAGTGAAAAGGAAGTCCAGGATACAGCCTATGATGATTGCCCAAAGCAGTCTCAGTGTGTGTTTCTGTACCAGTCCTTCAGCATCGAATACTTGCTTCAGTAAGTTAGGCTCCTCTCTTTTAGATTCTTTCCAAGTTGTCCATGTAGCACGCACAGCATTCAAACTAGACACAAGGGTTCTTGATCACTTGGCATAAGGACACCTTTGCTTTTTAAAGCAAGCAATTTTAATGTATTTTTGTGCTTTTTGCCTTGCAGGAAAGGAGACAAAACTTTCTTCAGTCATGGCATGCAGGGGTTTTAGTTCACTTCTTCATGAATACATGAGTGCTGTAGTCCAGTTAGATGTTTTTCCAGCAATAATTACGAGTTTCAGGAACAGTGGAAAGAAACTGGATTGTCCAGTGTTTCTTTTTTTGTTTTATTCTTTACCACTAGAACTGGGAGAAAAATACCACTTTCAAGAGCATGGATAAATGAGCTGCCAGTGTTGAAATCTGACACATAACCTTGTGTCATACTTGAGCATTCTTAGATTTTCAGTAGTTGCTTGGCAGCTGGCAAATGTGACTGTTTGGGTTAGGAAGGAGAGACGAACCTGCTTGTGGAAGGGAGAAAAGCAGTAAGTTAACTGGTGGCACTGTAATGTCATTAGCACATAACTTTGATATTGCCATTTCTATGAGAATGTGTTCAGGACAGACTGTTCCACAACTCAGTTTCACTGCATGTAAAAAAGAAAACCAAAACTTTCAGTTCTCTTTGCATAATTTTCTATGAGGAAAAGTAATTTCATCTGTTTTTGTCCTTTCTAATATTCACTTGTTACTTGTTGTTTTAAGAACTAACATACTAAGACCTTTCTGATAGTATAATTTAATTTATTGGTTTTCAGATAATTTATTACATCAGAAGATCCAGACTGAAACCTGTAGGTTATTGTTTTTCCTCTTTCACTGGCTTTTGATTACCATTGAGTGTGGATTCCTGTACTTGCAAAACAAAAAAGATTTCAAGAGCTTCCTTTTTAGTGACAGTTGTCTTACAGGTTCCATGCAACAAACAGAGCTCTCACAGGTTTTTTTTTTGTGCTAAAAATGGACAGATATTCATTTTGTCAAATGTTGGCTGCGGTTTTGGCTCAGCTTTCTTTCCATAACATCCTACACATTTAAAAAAGAAATGTGAACACGGTAGTCTTAACATGTATGATCTATGTCAATTGAGTGACTGATTGACTGCCTGACTGAATGAATGAATGATTAATTGAAAAAATTATAAATAGACATTCTGAAATGGCCTAACTCTAGGTTACCCATTAAAATACATATAACTATGTATACACACACATATTGTGGGGGTAGCTATATTCTGTATGTCACCTCTAAAAGAAAAAACACGTTAAGAAAGAGAATACTTCTTTTGTTTCTTGATGGCATTTCAGTATGAAATCAGGGAATTCAGATTGCCAGATGTACAACTCAGCAGTTTGTGGCTTACTGTATATGAGGCTAGTAAATAATATATCCTCTATTTAGTGCTTATCTTGACTTCTCCCTTCTAATTTGTAGATTCTTCATGGATTTAAAAATCAAGTTGGGGATGAGAATTGGAGGCGTTTCTCTGACCAGTTTCCTCTTCCCTTAAAAGAGCGCCTTGCAGCTTACTATGGAGTTTAACCTCATGCACTGTAGCTGCAGTCCCATAATTAGAGGTAAGCACAGAAATCTTGCTTGGTAAACAGATCTGTATAACATACTTTCTCCCTGTGTGCATTATATGAAATATAATTAATTAATTCGTCTAGAATTGTGTTTTCTAGAATTGTTCAGAAACACGGGAGGAGATATCTTTCCTTCCTATGGAGAGGGAAAAAAGAAGGTATGATAGCATACCTAAATGATGGAGGCTGTAGCAAAAGCAGCTGACTTTTTTCATTGTTGCAGAGAGAGAAAGAAAGAAAGAAAAAGTGAGTGTATCATACACACATTATTTTATTGAGATAAAGTTGGAAGCATAGGTATAACAGCGTGCTGGTTCAAGTTGAATAAGCAGAGTGATGAATATGATCGTGAAGTTATCATACTAAAGACACAGGCTCCCTTACATATTATGAATTAAGAGGTGGCAGATGTAGTCTAAGCAGGAATATTCCTCTAGGATAGAAAGCAAGTTCGTTAATGCACTGGAGCTATGTGAAGTCCAATATACTCCGAACTACATCCTCAATGCTTTTTGCACTGAATAAAAGATGTTATGCTAATGTGTAATTACTGTAACTGTAAAGCATGATGTTTTGGGGAGGCTAATGTGTTTATTATTGCCATGTTCCAGTTTTGTGCACCAATTCAGAATTGTTAGGCAGTTCTGTGTAGAGAATGATTCAATTTCAACAAAGAGCAGTGAAAGTGCGTTTTAGAATAGCTGTATTATTGTTCCACCATGCTTTGTATGCTGTCTGTGCGTGACGTATTAAGCAAATTTCCCATGTGCAAAGTAGTGTGATACTGTGAAGAGATTGTTATATTACCCAAAAAAGAGGGTGAATTAAGTTGATTCACTTAGTCTTTATACAGATTTGATACTTCTAGTAGAATTTTTGCACTGAAATTTATGGGCGTGAGTCATGCAGTTGTTTTTTTTTTTGGAATGGATAACTATTTAAAAGTCAGCCTAAGCTTTTTCAGTCACTGACATAAATCCTGTTTGAATTACATGTTTGATCCAGACAGTGGATTAAAAATAAAACAATTTCAAACATTTATATATTTATTATCAGTGAGGGTGTTTTAGTTCTAACATAAGAGTGTCTTCTCCTCCTATTGAAGAGGAAGCCAAAGTGATAAAATCCACCATTATTCTCAGTTTGAACTGAGAAACTATCTTGTTTAATCCACCTAAAAGGGAAGCTGTTAGGTCAGTAGCAGATACATGTAATATACTTTCTCAATGTCATAACTACCTCATAATTTTGTGCTAAAAAATGGAAAAGCTGGTTAAAATATATAGGACTGCTTTTATCGTAAATCTAAGTTTAGCACAGTAGTGGAACTGTCAATGTAGCTTAAAAGCATACATTGTTGTTTCATGAATAATAATTTATCTTACATAAACGGGCTGCTTTCTTAACAGGCTTAAAAAGGAAAATCTAGGCATAAATTAATTTTTAAGTTAACAGTTGGCACTTACTGCTTGAAAAAGGCCCTTTGTTTATCCACCTGTCAAAGGGTCAAGGTAAGATTTAATTATACCTTTATCTTTTCCTTTTACAGGTCCTTCAGTCTGGGAGACTATGAGGGAGCCTCTGCACCCAGGGAAAATGTTACCCTTTACTGGGGGGAAGGGTAAACCAGTAGGGAATACAGTACAATCCCAACCCTACTGGGAGGGGCGGGAGGGAGGTGTTGCCGTCACTGTATTAAGTCGATGTTGGGAAATGTTTTAACATCTGGAGCCTTTGTGGGTGGAAATCTGTCTCCTATTACACCTCTGCACTGGATGTGAAGAAGAAAAAAAAAGAATCTAGTCACAAAACAGCACATTCTGGAATATTGTGGGGATTTGTACCAAAATAAGTAACCATATAATTGAACCATAGGGATACGTAAAGAGGAAAAATATTTTGCGCACAATAAAGGAAACCTAAGAATGGGGGTCACAAACAGTAAAAGGCTTTCTTTTTTGTTTTCTGTTTTTTTAAGTAAGGGTTTTCTACATTATTTCATCCTGCTTGAGGGGATTACTAGGTATTTGCATGTTAATGAACTACGCAAACGAAGTTAGTACAGTTAAAATGCAGCTTGTGTCTGTATTAGGAACAGGCACTTGCAGTGTACAGCATAAAAACCCCATCGTAAAATAATAAAGGTTAACTTGGGCAAAATGAAGCAACTGCAAGCTGCCAAATAAGTCACTCCTTTCATGTTTTGGGGTAAGGGGAAGGACACTGCAAAGGAAAGATTGACATCTTAATTTTTACATTAAGGAAAACAACCAAGGTAGTGGATATGATTTTATTATTGTACGTTTTTAGCTTTAATTTCTAGAATAAGGCATTATTCTTAACTTGCAGTTTAAGGTTCAGGCATGCGTTCTGGCTCATAGTGATCAGAAGTAATTTTAATTAGTGGGAAAGTAGCATGCTTGCATCACATAGAGTGAAATTGGTATACATTTACCTATGTTGCGCCAGTTTTGTGTTGCAGTTTACCAATTCAATATAGCCCTGCATTTAAAATTCCTTTTTAAGATTCTGTGGAATTTATTTTTATTAAGAATATAGATATAAAGTACTGTAGTTAACGTTAAATTAGGCCTTGAAATACCTTTTTAGGATCTGTTAAGAATAAGATTGATATTGTATTGTGTGTAACCTGCACAATGTGGAAAGCTGATATAGCTGTGCAAAATATTTGCCTCTGTGCTGTCAGTGTGATGTGCTTTCTGCATGGTTATATCCTAGTGATTTTATCAGAATCTCTAAAATGAATTACATGGTAAGACCCGTTAAAGGCTGCATAAATGTTAGTTGGCACGTAAAGACAATTGTAGAAGTTGATGACAAGATTGCTACATTTGTGTTTATTCCCACTCAACGTATTACCTTCTACACTTTCTTTTTGTTCAAAGCATGATCTTAAAGAGATGTTTAAGTTGATGTAATGCAGGGTATCTACATGGTATCGGCGCATGTTGGTGGCCCTTTGTGATATAGTTAAATGCACAAGGGTGCAAGTTTAAAGCTAGAGAGTGAAAGTTGGTTTGGATCCTCTTCATTTCATTTGTTTAGCTTTTCTGTTGTGTTTTTTTTCTCTACTTACATGTATTCCTGTGAATAAATCCTTGTTAAGTTAACCCTTTACTTTTCCTTCCATGTGTATTTTCTTATGTACTGTGAATGTGAAATCCTAACTGGTACACTTGATCTTGTGTCCATCTGAAAGTGGCAAGTCTTTAATAATTTAGATTGCCTAAAGAGTATCCCATGATGATAAAGGAAAATGGAGAGATTTTTAACTCTGCTGGTCAGAGGTGAAGCCACACCTTTCCATTTTTCAAGTGCTGCATAATTAATCTGCAAAACAAAATTAAGCCATAACAGCCTTTTTGTAGATTTAGTTTCTCACCTTTGCATTGCAGAATTGATACTGGATAACAGTCTTTGGTTTTGGGTTTGCTTGTTTGGTTGGTTTTTGGTTCCTACCCCCTTTTCTTTCCTTTTCCTTTTTTTTTTTTTTTTTTTTTTTTTTTTTTTTTTTTTTTTTTTTTTTTGTTGTTGTTGTTGTTGTTGTTGTTTTGTTTTTGTTGGTTTTTTGGGGTTTTTGTTTGTTTTGAGTTTTGGGGGGGTTGTTGGGGTTTTTTGTTTTGATTTTTTTTGTTGTTTGTTTTTTTGTTGTTTGTTTTTTGGTTGGTTGGTTGGTTGGTTTTTTTAAGAACTTGCTCTTCTTTGCATGGTTCTGTTCTTTGACTGTTGAATGATTTAGCCATTGCACTGAAGTTTGAGCTGTATGAGTGTGAACTTAAAAATGCTGTTTAAACAACTTAGATTTTTTTTTTAGTGCATGATCACATGCATGTTTTGTGTCCCCCTTCCACACTTTTTTTTTGGCTTTGCAAATTTTAATGGATTATGCCTGAAGAATAGTTTGGACATGTACTGTATGAAATACATTCAATAATGCCAGTACATAGTATTTATTCAGTTTGGTCAAAACTGCATGTGATAACTTGCTTTCAAATTACATAACTTTGGTAGCAAACACAAAATTCCTTCTCAGCTAATAACTCTGAAATAAATTAGTTAATAGCCACTGAAAAACACTTCAAAACCAAATTTTGAAAGGGAAAAAAAAGAAAAACCAGCCTTTAGCAAAGTGGGATATTATTTTAGACCCAAATTTGCTTTAATGTTGAGTGTGTTTGAACTTTAAGGAAGAGTTTCAGAGAAATGACATTAAAAAGTTTGTAGAATAGAAATAATGTGGTAGCATAACAGTTAGAATCTGGGTTTAACTAAACTTCTTAAATTTCAGAAAGCCCCTTTAACCAAATAAAACCACTCCACCTCATCTTGGATTAGCTTAGGATGCCACTTTTGTGCATATGTGTTTTAATAGGTATGTGTACAGATGTGAACTGATCTGGTATGACAGCAAGCAAAATAATCAATTAGGGCAGAAATAAAGAGTACTGACAAAATAGTCTTTTGTATCAATAAGTTCTTGTGGTATATTATAAACCATATTCCTAATGCATAATAAAGTGCAAAGATTTGCAGAAGCCACTTAGGGTGTAATGTGAGGTAAGA